ATTTGAATCCTTTTATCCTTTTTGAGTCTTAACTTCAGGAAGATTTTGAAAATGTTGAGTAAGTGGCCTGACAGCAGCACCAACCAACTGGAAAACAGGCTGAATATTGACTCTGTTGTAGAGGGGTTTGGGTTTTCCAAAAGGAATAGGCATGTGACTTCTCTTTCTATGGGAACTTACAATAGCTTTTACTATTGATGCTGGAAGTGTTACATATTCAAGATGCAATCCAAGGAAATGAGAACTTAGTATCCTGGGGACTAGAGAGATGGTTCAGAGATTAAAAGCACTGGCTGCTCTTGCAGATGACCCAGGTTTGGATCCCAGCACCCAAAATATGGTTGACAGCTATTCCTAAGTAACTCCAGTTCCAGGGGATCTGCTATCCTCCATGGGCAAAGCACTCATACACATAAAATAAATCAATTAATTAAAAAATAACTTAGTCTCCTGTTTGAATCTTATGTGCAGTTGTACCATACCTCAATAAGTGAGACTCAGCTTGAAATAGTAGGAAAAAACTATCCCATTAGTTGCAAACCCTATGAGATCTGGTAAAATGCATAGAAGTCTTTTGGAAATTATCAAATTCTTGCTTTATGTAATGAACAACGGTATTAATGAAATGCATGCTTACCTCATGGTTGCAGAAGCAGTAGATAGTCGCGACAAAAAATCCCTAAAAGGAGAAAGAAAAATTCAGTGGCGATTACTCCTGTGTGTGCTACATTGCTTCAGAATCAATACACATGGACTGGGACCGAAGAGGATGAGAAAACCAAGAAAAAGGATGGCCTATGCTCTGATTCAGTGCTACACTACAAGAATGTGGTCATTAAAAATATTTTTCTTATGGGAATATTGCTCAGTTGTAGACCATTTACCTACCATGCATGAGGCCCAGGAATGAATCTTCAGTACCAAAAACTTAAAAAATCATTCTAAATACTCTCCAATAGAGAAATGTTGGGTTTTTGATAAGGATACTATTGTTCAGAAACTAGTATACCTCCAGTACATTTGGTTAATATAATGCTCCATTTAACATGGAGAGTTTTTGGTGAATATGCTGATTATACTGGATTTGAATAATATTTAAAAAATTAAAAGCTAAATCATGTAGAGTTCAACAGAGTAATCTTCTGTGAGTACAAGAGTGAAGCTGTCAGCTCTGTGCAAATGCATTACTTCTCATCACTCTAAAGTCACATTTATTTATGGAAGAAATGCCTGACAGTTGCTTTTTGTGTTACTGGCTACCTGGGTGGGGTCATTGAAGAGTCTCGGGTAACAGGAAAGCAAAAGTCATTGTCATAAAACTTGATTTCCTTCATAATTTTTTGTTGGGCCTGTTGTGTTAAAAGCTGTAAAATTTGACATTTAAAATCATGAGCTTAAAATAAAAAGATCATGGGCTTTAGAGTCAGACAGATGTAGAGATGAACAAGCCACAGAACAAATACACTGTGGGTTTCCTTACCTGGAAATGAATCAGAGAGTGCATGAGGTAATCATAGATCTTCCCAAGCACCTTGTTGGTGGGCCTCCAGGGAAACACGACAAACTGAACCCCCAGCAGGGGCACAAGGACCATGGTAGCCTTCACAGCCTTCAGGTACATGTAAGATTCTGCCTCATGGGTTTCCCGCATCTTGGTCACAAGCACCCGGACAATGTTGAGCAGAAAGAAGAAATTGACCTGCAAAGACATGACATCACGAGCAAATAATCTATTGTGACATAAAACATGATCTCTACCAGATCAGTGAATGATGCAATGACAAAAGAACTTTAAAACAAACAAACAAATAAATAAAAAGAAGCTGAAATTTTCTGATCCACAGCTATTTTTGACTCTGAAGGTTAGTTTTGAAAATAAATTTTTGTAGCAATTTAATTGACAATTAAAAAAAATGATTAGACTGATTTTTTTTTAGTCTCTTTGAGACAGGGTTTCCCTGTAGCCCCAGCTGTCCTGGAACTCACTACGTAGACCAGGCTGGCCTTGAACTCACAGAGATCTGCCTGCCTCTGCCTCCTGAGTGCTGGGATTAAAGGCGTGTGCCACCACGCCCGGCTTAGAGTGATATTTTTAAAGATGAAATAGAAATAGCCATTGTCAAAACAAATCTAAGAAAAGAATGAGATCTTGGTAGTAATTGAATTCCATGGTCTGAAGTTCTCAACTGAATAAAAAGGAGAAAGGGAGTCGAGCACCAGCATTCATCTCTCTCTGCTTCCTGACTGTGGACACATGTGACCAACTGTCTCACACTTCTTCCATGTGTTCTCTGCCATGATGGTCTGTGTCACATCAAACTGTGAGCCAAAATAAACCCTTCTTTTAGTTGCTTTTGCCTGTCACACATTTTGCTATAGCAACAAGAAAATAACTAACACAAATGGAGATGCCAAGAAATGTGGAAAACTGTATGGCTAACAATCCAATTTATCAGTTACTAATGGATATCCCCTCACTGCAGAGCAGAATGTGCTTATCTATGATTCCAAGCTGTTTTTATTTTTCTTACAATTAGTAAGGAAAACACTATCTTTGAGGTTAATGGGAAAGATAATATTTAACATTAAAATTGATGGTTATAATGTTGGTATCAGGATAGTAGACCTAGGATAGAAATAAAGAAATTGGATTCTGATTTAGACAGTCACATCCTGTAATCCTTACTCCCAAGCTTCTCTTCATCCTGTAATTTTGAGTGATGTTACTAAAACCTTTGGGTTCAAGTTTGCTAATGAGTAAAACATCCTGATATATCTATTGTAGAGGGCTGCTGTTAGGAACAACATGTCAATGTATATGAAATACTTAAAATATTTTAAAGGTGATTTCAGTGTTTATTATGATGATAGCTTATGTACCAAGCACAAAAGAGATGATTTTGTTTTGTAGAAAAATGAAGATGAGATGATATACTCTCTCTGTTCTCATTTTTAAAATCACCTTAATATTTTTTCAAGATTCTTGCCCCCCCTGCCTTCCCTTTACTTAGGAAACTCTAGTTATAAAAATCTTTAAAAATATGCTACATTACTGTTATATGTATGCAAATGAGATTCTCTGCATATAACATAAAAGATATTTTTTGAAGACTAGAATTGTTTTCTTTATGATAGAATGTCATTAAATTAGCTTTATTTCATAGTTATAGTACATGTGCCATTGAGAAATACATTCACAATGCAAAGCAGGGACACTGCTAATGATGTATTTACAAACTGAGTCTTACCACCAGAGCCACCATGACAGGGCCGTGGATGATGTAGAGCAAGTGGGTTTCCACACTCAGCCAGCAGCTGGAAAAAAGGTGAGGGAGCACATCAATCCAAATGCACGCTCACTTAGGAATAGATTAACTTACAAATCACCACAGTACTTACTTGTCATTGTAGTACAGAGCACGAGTGATGGCATGGATAGTGGTCGGCACCACTGGGAACCCTACAAATGTGAAAATCACAAATCATGCTTGGTTCTTGGGTCATAAGCTTAACTATAATTGCATGGGAAATGGTAGCATTCTTGAAAAGAGAGTGGCAAATTTAGTGTGTCTATCAAGATATTCTCCTGTTGTTTATATACAAATTATCTTTGATCAAGCCAGGTAAAACTGCTTGTAGCAGGAGTACCATCTGCGTTTAGAGTTTGGTTAAGAGCATACAGGAAATTAAAAGGCTTTCGCCAATTATCCATTGTAGTAGGAACACCATAACTTGCACTCACTTGAGTTGTGGCTCTCACTAACATTGTTATGTCTTTGATGATGGTTTTTCTGCTACTGTGAACTAGGACAAGAAAGTCTTTCATTGTGTGTGAATTAAACTCTTACATGGCAAGAAGCTTGCTCACCCTGAAGGCATGGGACCTGTGACATTGCATTGAGTTATAATATTATTTCTACAAAAGCCTTTCTTGATGTTCACATGATTTCTTTTGGGTATTTCATTTTCTGTTTACTTCACATACATTGATCCTGCTTCCTTTTAAAGTAAGCATATCAAGGAAGCCAGTTTATCCCCACCCCCCCAAGTTGTAGTTGTGGCATATGGAGGAAGCTTAGCATCCTCTTTCTTGACTAAATTGAAGTACTAGTGAAAAAAAAGCCCTTTGAATTATCCGAAAAATAGAGGCGCTGTCAATGTAGCCTGCAAAATTACATCTTTTTAAAACAATTTTCTTTCTATGAATGTACTTTAAAGTTGTAATTTTCCTTTTAAAGGGTTCTCTTTTTATTCAGATGTACCTGGTACAATAGAATACAGTTTGATTTGATTGAGGCATCTGTAGAAAGAGGTTTGTTGTTATTATCAGGTTAAGAAATGTGTCTCAGGAGAGAATTAAACCTACACATTTTAAATTTCAATAAAGGATATGCAAAAGAGGTCTCAAAATATTGAGTTTTCACATAAAAATCATTTCAGTTTCTAAACTTATGAATGATATAATTCAATAAGACCACTGAGTATGTGTCTGGCTTGAAATAATTTTGAGTTGGACTATTCATACAAAATTTGTGTTATTCATAGCAGTTCCAGCATACTACTTTTTTAAATTTGCATTCAGAGACCAAAAGTTGCTCTCTGAATTTTTTCTGAAACACACATTTTAGAATTATACAGCAAAAGAAGCCTTTAGAAATCCGAATCCACTCATGTAGAGGGCTTGTCACTTTCTTTAGCTGTTATGACTTTTTAAATACAGTTTGGTTTTTTTTCTTCTTTCTTCTCTTCATCTTCTAGAACACAATATTTCTAACTACTTGTCCCTCCTACCAAAGGTAGTAAGGGTAAAATCAATACTCCATAGGATTCTACTTTTTAAGGGAGATTAAATAAATTCTACTTGTTCAATGTGGACTCCACAGGAAGATTTTTCTTCCTCTAATTTATAACATGGGGGAACAGCAGGGGAATGAATCAACCTGAAGATCACGAAGTTCCTTTGATTTTGGAGATGCCAACTACTAAGTGGTGCAATACAGACACAGTAAAACGTAACCACGAAGGAATCATTCCTTTGTGTTCTGGTGGGGAGAATTTCAGCACCAGATACTTGTTCACCCAAAGAAGGAGCTTTCAGTGTCTCTTATAGTTCTTGGCATCCCATTCCATTCTGGATCCTAGGTTTGGAAACACTTTTTGTAACTGAAGTAAATGCGTGGTCTTGATTCACCTACAAAGTTAGGCTCTAGAACATCGCTTTACGGGACCATATTTTCTGTATCTCGGTTTTAGAGAGCATTTTCAAACGGCAAGCCGTGCATGCTTTTCTTGTCATTGCAAAATTTAGAGCCTATCATATTGTTTTAGTGTGAGATTTTCAAAGGGAAATATTGTCCAACAGAGATTCATCTCTGCTCCATTAAATTCTTTAACATTCTGTGAAACTGTTTTTTAAGAAGTTATTTGGACTTAGCTTGGGTTTCTCCCTTCCAAAGATAATGCTTGAAAGTTCTAGGGAATGATTATTGTCCTAAAATATATTGTCCTAGATGTCGTATATTTATTCTTGGGGGTTTAGATATTTTGGTTTTATTAATGGGTGAGTGTGGTGGAATTTTAGCCTCTCTCTCTCTCTGTTGGATGACCTTCTTCTGTCTTTCCAACTCTATAGAAGATCAAATCTTTCTCTTGTTTTAATTTTGTTTTATTTTGGTCAGAATACTAAACAGGAGATCTACTGATTTGATTTCATGTGCATAACTTCATGTTGCTGACTAGAGGTACAAAGCTGTTCAGCAATGCCTAGGATTTTTCAACTTGCATTAATGAAACGTTATACTGTTGATTAGCAATGACCCATTTTGTGCTTACCATGAGTGTAACACTCTTTAGGAGTCTACTCAGATCATGCTAACAAAATTTTAAATATTTACCGATTAAGGAAGTTTAAGGTATTGCATAAATATTCTAGTTTTAAAAAATATTTTACAGATCTGAACCTCTGTTTCAAAACCAAGGCTTGAAGAAGACTATAAATACACAAACACAGGTGAAGCTAGCTCAGAATTTAGCAGTAGAAAATACATACCCCAGCCAAGAAGATAATACCAGCGCAGGCGCTGCTCCTCAGTAAACACAGCCACCACGATGAGTGTGTGAAGATATATCCCTTCACAGAGCATCCAGAAATAGTTGCAGGCCATCATGTACTGGTGGAAGAAGTGCAGAATCTTGCAGCTTATCTGTTGGAAGGAGATGAAAATATTCAACGAAAGATATGGGGGGGGGTAAGTGCAATTATAAGGTAAAGGATCTGCATTGAACTTGCAAGAATTGCTTTGAGTAATTGTCAACATGTGCCCTTTATATCCACAAATTAAAGGAATAGTGCATAGGTCACAGGAATTGCATGTAAATAGCCATATAAGACAACAGGACCTGAGGCCGCATAATATTTTCTTCTGTGTTATATTCTGGGGACTTACCTAGACTAGACAAATTCATTTTTCTGCAAGGTGTCTGAGAGTAATAATTTTAAAGAGCATCCATGGATTTGCCATATGAATTCTTCAGCCTTTCCCTCTCTTATGTTCCACAGGGAAGCAACTTAGATACTGTTAATGGTGTTCCTGAAGTTTATTGATTTGTTAGCAAGGCCTCCTAGAGCAGAGGATCAGAAGAAAAATTCTCCTTTGTGGACCAGGAGCCCATGCTGAGCCTACCTTCTGTTTTCCTATGTAGCCTTGTTTTCTATATTAGGAGCCAAGTGTTTGCCAACACTTGTCTCTTGGCATACTGATTAGAATCGTGTCCTTGCTAATTACTCAAAACAGATTTAGGAACCACATCAGCATAAAGTTAACTACATATTGTATGCACCGAAAAATCATAAACCACATCAGAATATCCTGTTATTCCCTAATTACTCTAGGGTAAGGTTTCATATCTTGACAACATTGACATTTTGGGATAGATAATTGGTTGTTGTGTGGGCTGTTCTGAGCATTGCTGGGAGTTAGAAGTGTTCCTATCCTCTGTCTATTAGATGTCTATAGTGTCTTCCACCCATACATGACAATGAAAAATGACTCCAGACGCTGCCAAATGTCCCCTAGGGAGCAAAATGTCCCTGACTAAGGACCTCTACTTGGGGACACTAGCTTTGATTAACTTCCAACAACCACAAGGGCCACAACAACAAAACAGAGCATTCAAATCTCAGAAACTGAGTAATTGTTTGCACTATTATGTTACCAAACAATCTGCTTTATATCATACTGCTCCTCCTAGGGATGGATTTGAGTCTAACTGGATTTCAGCTTTCCTTTTATAAATAATGTCACCACGAAGTGCCTTTCAGACCAGCAGCACCTCTCCAGGGCCATACATTTCTATTGACTGCTTTAGAACAGTAATTCATTTACTGGGGTCTTGATATGCTGAAGCAAGTGTATTCTGGTAAGTAAGCTTCTTTTCCCTTCAGGATTCATATCAGAAAGCCAGCTGGGCCCATGAAAAGATAACTATTATGTTTTCAAAGGCAGAACCACCTCCGATCTCACCAATAGGAATAGTAGTGTTGATAAGTCATGGCAACAGGAAAAGCTAAAATAATTTATATTTGGCTTGAGAAAGAACTGGCATGCTTCTGCTTCCATAATCCCTTTTATTTGATTATCTTCCTAATCAGGGTTAACTGATTTACTACTACATTAGTTTTGTATTTGCTAAGTAAGTACTTAGCTCCAAGATACCAAAACATCTCAGTAAAATGAGAAATTATGCTGCTCTTGGTTCCATTTTGCAGATAACTGTTATTTGAAACCTTGCCCCTCCTGGATTCCTAGATGCTGTGGTGGCTTTCACAGGTGGAAGAAGGAGGTGGAGATGATGGCCCTGTTCCTATGTGATCCAGAGCATCTGGGGTTTCATGTTTTATACACATCCGGTTGTCATTATTCATAGTAGTTATGCTCTGTAAAGTCATTATGAAGCCTGAATTAGCGAGTACTGAGCCACTGCTTTTAGAGACAATGTAAGGCTCTTTGAAGCTCTAGTCACAATATTTTCATCAAGTAATCAATATGCTTTGACTCATATGTTTTGTGTAAAGACACCTTATTTGATATGTATTATCAATTCATTCATATTGATCTCTTGGCCAACAGCACAATAGCTGCTACTTGAAAGATATTTATGATACATTTTTTCTGTAAACTGTTTTGTTTTAAAACAAATTTGACAAAGGAGAATTAAAAGTAATAAACATCTATTCTTGCATAGTTCAATGCTTATCACCAAGGGAGTGGAGTTCTGGTGCAGAGACAGACATAGAAACAAATAAATGCAATCATGCACAATGACTGCTAAAATCTATGCTTTTTCTAGCTAACTTAACTATTAAGATTATTTTCTTAGGTATGTAGCAAAGGAGGATTTTCTCAGGTATGTAGCACTTAGGAGGATTAATTGCTAGAGGTAGAGTCTATTCTTTACACAATGAGGTCAACTAGAGTGATTTTGTTATGGACATTGATTTATCTACTCTATTTTTGGATGGTTAGCAAGGAGTAGATTACCAGATTGTGCCAAAACTGAGCAAACACATTAATGGGTGTTGTCAAATACTGTTCACATTCTATTTCTTGTATTTGGGGTGGGGGTTGCATTGTAAACTAATTTATATCAAGAGAGGTAGCTGACTTTAAATTTACTTTTCAAATCCTTAAGAAAATATTGAAGCAAATTGGGGAGGCAGCAAAGAATCTGTCTCTTGGGACTAGAGAGATTGCTCAGTGGTTAAGAGCGGTTGCTCTTGCAGAGGACCTGGGTTCGATTCTCAACATCCACATGGTGGCTAACAACCATCCATAATTCTAGTGACAGGAGATCCAACACCCTCTTCTGACCTCTGCCAGCACTGCACACACATTGTGCACGTACATGCATGCAGACAAAACACTCATACACATAAAAGAAAAATAATAAATAAATTAAAAAGAAAAGGCTCTCTCTCCCGTCTCTTTAGTTGCTGAGGGAAAAATGAGTACCTGAGGAGACAAGGCAGACAGTTAAGACCATATTGCTCACTATTAGCAACTCAGAAATTTGCAAAATTAGTTTGACATGGGTTACAGCGCTCACTCTATAATGCTTTTTTAAACTTTGTTGTGTGTTTGAGTTCTTCAGTGATTCAACCTGGTTATTTACATTACCCTCCTGAAAATGTTTTCTTACTAGTTCACCTTAGCACATAAATAAGTGTATGGAGTTATGTTTACTTGATCAAGAGAATAAAGATTCAACAACTCAATTTCTATATATTTTAATTGATGGAAAAGACATTTTAATAGATTCTACATAGCAAATATCTGTGATCTTTGTTGATTCAATTTTTAGATTAATTTTAAATGTAATTTGATTTAACATCTACGTTCCATATTGAGTAATCTTTAAATTGCTATCACATATCTACGTCCTTCATGAAGTTGTGGTCATTTTGGTATTTATAACTTTAATTGTTTTTCCAAGCTGTTCTTTGCTATCTCTTCATGATATTCCTGATTTTTGTATTTTAACATTTGTTGTATTAGTTCACAGGTCCCTGAGACTGGTGACCCACAGTATATTATGTACATCCTTCAAATTGGACAACATCTATTGGTTAACCTTTGATCTTGTGGACTCTAGTGGTGTTCATCCTGCTATTAAGCCAATTCAGTGTTAACATATTTTGAAATTTCAGCTCTTCTATGTTTTGTTCTAGAGCGTCTAGATAGTTCATTTTTTTTTTAGTGATTCTATTTTTCTGGCTAAGATTTCCTGTCTTTTTATTGTCTTATAACCTTCAGCATAGTTATAATGGCTAGTATATAATCTCTACTTGATAATTTTAACATCTGGGTTAATTTACAATTTATCTCAATTGTGTTTTCTTTCTAGGCAGGCCTAATACAGAAATCCTTCTCCTTCCGCCTCCTAAAGCCACCAAACCTGCTTGTGTTTCTCTTGATAATGGGTCATTTTAAAAAAAATTTGTACATATCTGGTAGTTTTGAATTGTGTCTGGATTCCATAAATATTGGAATGTAGTAGAATCTCTGGTTTGAGTCTGGATTTTGTTATAGTCCTTTGAAGTTGTCTTATTGTGTTAGTTTGATTAGGTACTTAACTTGAGTAAATCCAAACGTAAACTTCCACTGTGGGGGTAGGGGGGAGGGTTTCATATCTTAAATCTCAATTTAGACTTTATTACACTGTTAGATTTCTTTGCGGACAAGTGGTTATGAAGTCAGCCAAAGTCTAAACATAGGTACACATACAGATTCCAAGTTCCCCTGCTTTCTGAGATTGACACCCCTTGCTTCTAGAGGCCTTAGTCATCCTATTCTCTCTAATACTAGGCCAGAGAGAAGCCATTCGGCCATCACCATTTTGTCTTAAATACTCTGTTACAATGTGTGAAAATTATAATGCTGAACTTGGCATAAATTAAACTTTAAAGGTACTTTATTTTTTCACAGAGGTGGAGAATCATTTATTGGTTTTGACATACTACTAAAATGAAGAATAGTTAGCCAGAGTAGAAATCCCATTCAATGACCACATCACGACACCTTGGCCCAGCAAATCTAGCATATGCTTTCATTCCCAATGTATTTTTCCGTAGGCTATTGAAATGGGTAATTCTGATCTAGTTTGATCTACTGTGGACCTTTCATTGCCAAGTCTATTTTCTCAGTTACCTCCCTCACCTTCACATGCCCTGCCTTGCCCCAGCTTCCCTTGGATAGACAGGGGTAATCATTTTCACCCTGGACTTTATGATCCCGTGTCTAGATTCTGAGCTAGATTCAAGCCGACTTTTCTTTGACGAGGACGAAGTTCTGGAATATTCTGGTGGCTCAATTCTCCCAGAAAAATGAGGTTTAGAAGAAATTCATGCCATTTTTTAACCAGGGACTGACCTGATGGTACTTAGATAAGATGGTATGGAAAATGTAATTTGATCGTTTCTGCTTTTGAGATGCACAATGCTCAAGTTCTCAGTAAAGTGTAATCTCTCTGTATTGTCCCTCTTAGACCCAGATAAAAGTTCAGAAAGACATGTCTTTCTAGAAAATTACAAGTATTCTGGCAAATTCAATACATGCAGCAAGAAAAAGGCTTTTAATTCTGTCCCCTGACTCTACATGGACTCACTGAATGAACAGCTAGAATAAGAAAATGAGAACGTAAATATTGCAGAAATGAAATGCTTAAATGACAATGGGCAATTTTCACATCACTCAGTAAACTGAGGATCAATTCAGCCCTTTCTTATGCCATAAGTTATTTTGAATTTAACTTAAAAAAACAAACAACCTGGAAGACTGTGAAGGAATGAGGTTCTTATTGTGGGTTATTACAGGAGAGAATAAAGCCAACCAAAAAATTCTGAGAGAGAAAGTGACTAGTTTGATGGAGAAAGAGGTGCAAGCCCATGGAAACTCACTACCACAGAGTGGGACACTCTGGTCTTTTTCTTTCCTTTTTAGTCACAAAAATAAAAATTCGTATAGGAGTAACACAACCACACTGGCACATTTGGGAAAAGGTGGCACCTCTCTTTAAGAAATATCTTTTAAAAATATATTCTCTTTGGTATTGAATAGAAAAATCTTTGGCCTCTTGAGTACTGATTCAGTGGTATAAGAATTGGATCAAAGTGGAAAAACATGCCACTTCCCTGCCTTCTGTTTGCCTAGAGGAGAAAATGTCATACAAATTAAGTATTTTGCTTTTCTTTATAGGAGACATATGCCCAAATTATAGGTAGAAGCAGAAGGCATACTTACAAATACACTTTTCTTCAATTTATGAATCTACTTATAGTTTTCATGTTATATTTCAATAAATACTTGTAGATTGACAATGCCTGATAACATTTCTTTGCCAAAAGTTTCCTTTATTGCATTTTCTTTCTCACTCTCCTTATTATTTATTTATTTATTTTTATTTATTATTTGCTTAATTTCTTTCCTTCTCATTATTTCTATGGAGAATCTTGATTTTATCTTATCTTGTTGTTAGTTTTTCTTAGGAAGATGAAATACTTCAAATCATTAACTTAAAGTAACCTTAAACATATGATTCTGCATGTGACCAATGTAACTGAGAACCTGGTTCTTTGCTTTTGGGTGCTGTTATCGCTGTCTCTTTAGACACTGAAAATTTTGATCCCAAGAAAGATAGGACTTGAGACTAGTTGAGCCTTTTCTTGTTATTGTTTATTTCCTCTGTGCTTGAATCCATTTCTATAGTGAAAATGTATTCTTTCTTCACACCTAAATTATAGGATCAAATACAATCCACTTAAATAATATTTTGGATGGGAAAAGATATTCAAGAAATTGGGCTTCTACAAATGCATTTGTGACAGACTATGCATTTCAAGGTGAGACAATACAAATTTTACCATGTCTCTCAGAGATGACAAATAACTTCAAGATGAGAAACATTTTAAACATGTATGCTTAAGAGTTTCTGCTGCCTTTTTTCTGAACCAGTTTTTGCCTCCCTAGAGAGAGTAGTCCTATGCTGCTTGTTTACGGAGAGTTAACTTCTTAGTTAACTTTAAAGTTTTGTTATCTTTAACAAAATTCTCATTGGGAAACAAAGACTATTCAAACGGAGAAAGCACTCAAATTCCCTCCTTCATTTTTCTTCTGGATGAAGTGTATACTGCACAGTTTATAATTGTCGATTGATTTTTGGCATTGTAATCATTTACTTTTAGCCTATACTATTTATATGATTTGATGAGAGGCATGTGTTTCCATATTTTGTCTTAGGGAAGAAACAGACATTTGCAATATGAAAGACAGTGTATTTTAACATCACTTATTTTCTATCTAAGTCAGCTGTTATTGGTGGCCCATTTTCATTTTGTCTAGCCTCAAACAAAAAGAGCTTCCACTTTCAGATGCATAAAGAAAAATATATAGATTTTTGCTCCTTTGTTTTCCATGAGACAAAAGGCCATACTTTAAAACAGGCAGAAATATCACCGAGTTTCACACATGTTGCTACAAAACACAGATAGCTGTTTCTGAGGCTCGACTCATTCCCAGAGATGGTGAAGCAATGTCATAAAGATTTATTTCCCCTAACAGTATGAATTCAGCTCAGCCTGAGGACTAAATTTTAAATAATTAGTGCTCAGTAAATGCTTGGTTGATTGGAAGAAATTCTTTGTTTCAAGTATTCAGTATTTTATAGTATTTTTTCCCTAGGAAGTTTGCTCTTGTACATCTAAAGTTATTTTGTTAGATTAAAAACTTACTGATTGAATCAGGTTTTTTGTTTTTCATGTCATAAAGATAATCTTTTTGTTTAATGTGTATGGGAGAATCAGGCTTACTCCTGCATACCAGAAGAAAGTTTTCTATCCTTTTCTCTGACTCCCTTAAGCTCTCACTGATATTCTCCCAGGAAGTCAGCAGCGCAGTGGCAGAGCCAGCCATCTAGACACCTGCTCACCAGCTTCAGAAAAGGCTCTCAGCAATAGAGGAGCCACAGGGCAGGTCCAGGCTGACCTGGTAATGGCTAAGAACAGCCTGTGTGCTGTCACTGGGAAAGTGCCATGGCATGTCTTCCCCTAAAGCATCCTATGAAAGTGAAGGTATCTAGCAAAGATAACTAACGAGGCCATTAAGGGTAATGAATTGAGCAATAAATTGGTTAGAAATGCCAAGCACAGAGACATATGGACTTAGTCACAAGATGAGGGCTCAAAGCAACCTTGTGAGCAACTGCTTGCGATGTTATGTATGCTCTTGGGAATCCTAAAGCTTTATGCTTCCGTGATTCTAGGACAATCCCTTAAAACTAAGTTTTTCACATTTGATGGGTAAAATGAACATGCAACTGGTTTCTATAATTATCCATAAACTTGGTAATGGTGTGGAGCCCTGACTTTTTAGACTGTTTTAAGATGGCAACAAGATTTCCAAGATCTCACACAGTGTGGGAATCCTCCTTTATATGAACAGCTGGGGAGCAATCTGAGCAGATGGGAGAGAATCTACTTGTGAGTTTCCCTTACTTTACAATATGACTAAGCACCAATCCCAGGTCAGTATAGTTGATTATTCAGTAACTGGAGTGCCACTCTCAATGGGAAATGAAAAGAAAAAAAATATGGCTATGCTGAGAGATGCTTAGTGAATGGCTTCTACTTCAACGGGGTCATCTCATTAATTAACCTTAGTATGCATATTCCCGTTATGGAAAATAATTTGAATGGATGAGACTATTTCTTTAAGAACATACCTTCCTAATGAAATAAAAGACAGACAAGTGTACCATATGGTGTAGAAAAGAGAGATGGGCTTGAATGAGCTCAGTCTATGTTTGAATCTCAACCCCACGCCTTCAAAATAGAAAGGATGTTTGCCTTTATTGAACTTTAGTTTTCTAACTCTAAAAATTGGGTGATATCTACTTCTCACTGTGGTGTTGTGAGAATTTAATTAAATGAGATTAATTTTATTTTGATAGAATTAAAAAAAGAAAACTCATCAAGGTAAACTCATTTGGTTATATTATTCTTCAGGTAAGACAGGACTTTGTCTCCAGTAGCAGATGCCATGGTTTTAAAAGATGAATCACAATGTTTTTCTGGATATATTCATACTACAAAAATGATTAACACTGTGGATCCATTAGCAGCCAAATTAAGCTGCTTTCCCATGCCATGCCACTGTTACGCAGGATGCATGCTCTGGAAAGATTTCACGCATTTTTGTTATTGGGTTGGCAGAACTGTCAAATGCCAGATTTGAAAGATGAGGCTATCTACAGATGCTTGCATAACACAGTTAAGCAGAGAAACAAAAATTAAAGTATGTTGTGGCCATCCCTGTGTGCTAGATAGCTTCTGTGTCTGGTTCCAGGTTTTCTCTACTCCCGACTCCCACTGCCCTGGGCCCAGAGAACTATATCTGCATACAGCTACCAGTTTCTGAATTCAGCTCAATTAATGGGGACCCTTTGCAGAAACTAGGAGATGAGTATGAACTAGGAGAGTTTATCCCCCCTCCCTTTGTGGGTTTGTCCCAGGCTGGCTGTGTCTGGAGACAGAAGTCCTGAGTTTCTGAAGGCCAGTCCTCATCATACCACTTCACTGTCTTTAAGGTCCATCTTTCCCTCCGCCTGTGCTCTCAAGGGTAGGGGTGGTGACAGTTCCCACTGCATTGTCCACACATTTGTATTAGGATGAAACATATGCATCTGTCAATTTTTCAGAACAAAAACGATCAAATATTGGCAATTTCATATGCAATGTAATAACTACATTATTAAACTGTTTTTGAATTGATTCTATAGCAGCTAAACTTCTGTATCATGTGAACAGCAGCTAGCTAGTATTTCCCCATTTGGTTCATTTCCCCAGTTGATTCTAAAGTGTAGCCATGTTTGGAAATCAGTGTGAAAAACACAATATTTCAAAGATAAAGAGAGAATGTGGAAGATAAATGTGAATTATGTAAACAACTTTTGGGACAGTTCTGGCAAAAGGAATCCACAGTGGTTCTTGGTGATGGTGCCGAATGATTTCAGCTCTCCTCAATAAAATATAGAAGGATGGTACACATGGCCATGAATTTCATGAATATCTGTCCTGCTGCCCCTAACTTCTTTTGTGTTTCCTTATGTTAGTATGGTTATTTTTCAAAGCATGTAGACATGGAACATGATTATATTCATATAAATTATTTGAATAAATGCATAGGTGCATATAGCTGATGTAACTGAAGGTGCAGCCTGGCACCAGAGCAGTCAAGTAATCAATACCTAGGCCACTCTGTGATAATTAGTGGCAAACGGGGGTCTACTGGGAAGCACTGCTTTACTCTGCCTAATATCACCTGTGTTCCCAAGAAGTGCTAAATATACTTCTCATAGATATTAATAACTTATTGGGTAGTGATTAAAACATATGTCGTATTGTACAATTCTTATTTACCTATAATTCCATGACTCCTACTCCTTTTCTCTCTCACGTAACAATTACTTCCAAGAACCAGTAATACATCTTCTTAATTCAAAACTCAACTTTAGAAACAGTATGATTATACTTGTAAACAGCTGCTTAAGTTAACCATTAACACTGTGTTCACTATTTATAGGCACTACGCTCTTTAAAAAAAATTCCAAACAAAACCAGGTAGTGCTTACCGGATCCCTACGCACCAGATCTCCATTGGGCACAACTTCAACCAGGTGGATGATGATGATCACAGAGTTCAGAATGTATGTAAGAAACATGTTCTTGTGTAGCGTCACCCTTTGGCAGCCAAGGCTCCTAGAAGAAAAATAACATAAAGCATGAAGTATTGCCAAAATGTTGAAATTCCCTGACAAGAACTTTTAGTACTGTTTAAATATTTTCTTTCTCTAGTAATGGATGAGAAGGCATGTAGAAGAAGTGAGGTGTGTCTTATCTTTAAAGCTAATCCCTATATTTCAGGCAAATTTTTACAGGAAAGCTTTAAAAACCATTTCATGGTCATGGCATTTCATGTTTTTGTCCTTAGGAAGGCTTCACTGGAAGACCGAGTTGAAAAACCACTTTTAATGTTAATAAATGCTGCAGAATTAATTAAGAGAAAGGCTGTTAGAGGAGAAAGGATTGGAGAACGGTGTGTGCTTCCATTGGACAGTCTACCACTCACTGTTGTGAGCAGGCAGGAAATACACGGCCCATGAGGAAGCGCAGAAGGTGGTTCTGGGGCAGTTAGCCAGGCTTTCTGCTGCCATCGTCTCACCCTTTCCCTGGCATTGTAGTACAGCTCCTATTTCAAAGGGGAACTCTCATTTTAACCCTCCTTTCCACATTTTCCTCCTGGTGGGGCTCAGACACAAGCAAATTATCCTAAAAGGGCTCGTATTTGAGCTCATGGTGCAGCCATTGGGGCTCTGGATCTGACGGGGCAGACCAGTCAACTACAATTCCTCCTTGTTGTGGGCCTTTCCCACCTGTGGGCACTAAGTGAGTTGTTGGGTTTGTGATCATTTCCCCTCTTCTTCTTTAACTTTTACATATGTGCCAATGCAATGTTCACATGAAACACAAATTTGAATGTTCTTTTCTCCTTTTCTGATGTAATGATAGCCTCTGTGATGGCTATAACAAAGTTAGAATGATGACTCAGGTAAATAAAGCCTATATTTACCCTTTTTTTGATCCAGTTAAATAATGTTAATATAATGCCTTTATCATGCAAAAGCTTAAAATACACAGTTAATGATGACAGCAACTTGGAGTACCTATTTCTAAAACATTGCTGAAGGCAAGTTAAGATAAGGCATTTTGTTAGGAAGTTCTGGGGAAAGATAAAGTATGAAAATTCCCCGGGTTCTACATCGTGTATAGTCTCAGCTGAAAGAAAATTAATTGACAATTATTTGTAGTAAAAATCAAATTTAAATAATAGGGTCCTCGGTGAGAGCATTAAGATCATTGTTGCTAAGTTATCAACTTTTTAGGAAGCTTAAGTACTATGTTAAAACGTAATATTTTAGAATGTTTAAATTCTGGGCTGGAATACAGCAGGATTTTTTTTTTGTCTAGGAGGAAGCCTAAGCTAAAAATAAGGTTTGCAAATGATCTCTCTCTCTCTCTCTCTCTCTCTCTCTCTCTCTCTCTCTCTCTCTCTTGTATGGAACAGTTTAGCAGCAAAGAACTCTAATGAATAAACCAAATTTCATTTTGACACAGCATTAAAGGCAGATCTCAATTTTAATGCTAAAGAAAAAAGAAAATTTGTGAAAATTCCATTCATTTAAAGTGCTTAGACTGATCCATCTTGCAACTGTTCCAGTCAGCACTTCTGCGCCTGTGATTTGCTGCGTTTCTGCCAGCCACAGTCATATTTTATATATCTCTTCAGTAGGGGGTGAATATCTGTGTGCTTCAATGTGCCTGGACCAATGACAACTGACATTATTCAGAGCTAAAGAGTATGAACTAAACTGCCAAATAACACTAATAACACTGGGTTTCTTGTGATGGGATAGAATTTGTAACTGATAGGCTCAACATCAGCTTAAAGGACTCCTTTAGTTTCATTTTTCTGTGCAAACCCAAACCACCTTGAAGGTGTCTCTTCTTCAATAGTCTCATTCTGAATAATAATCAAACATTTTAGCACAGTGTGGGCTGATCCTACTTTATGTATAGCTTTCTATTGTCCTTGAATTACTGCTTTATTTTTCTTTCTAATACTGATCACCTCCTCAGACAGCATATATTTGATTATTATCTGATATTTTCTCTTTTCCCCTGCTAGAATGAAAATACTAAAGGGATTTATTCTATATACCTTGAACACTGACACATAACATGGCGTGGTATTTATTTTAATTAAAATGTAAAAGGATAATTTTCCTTGAACAGTGACCAATAAATAACTTTTCAGTACATCAAATGCTAGATCATTTTGTACCTTATGCCTTGATCTATATGAACAAATTCTTAAGGGAGATATTAAGTAATCAACACTTGATATTAGCCTGTTGTTTAAAACTGGTTAAAATTTACATATACATACACACATGTATACCTACATGTGTAAAAGCATATGGGTACTTATAGAAAATAAATTGATAGCTTAAAGTTTGATAAGCCACTAATCTTCAAAGAATGGATATTACTAATATATGGGCTTCCTCTTTTAAAAGTTCAAATATAATTGTCTTGAGTTAAAAAGTTTTAATTAAATTTAATTATACTTACTTGATGACGTATACACACTCATCTTTTTGAAGTGAGTTAAAGGTACTTTATTGTTATCAAAATTAATTCAATAGCCTAAGATATATTACTGTGCACTTCCTATGATCCAGACCTTTTTAATAGTTGTTAGAGATGTGTCAGTGGGCAAGTAAATCTGACCTCAGGGACTTTATACATGTTATAGTTGTTTATTTACTCTCACTATGACAGTGGTTCAGAGGTTCTAACGCAGAGGCGTAGGATGCTAGAGAGGGTTAACTGGATTGAACACAACATTTTTCAATGTAAATGTCCTGTTTTTTGAATGGACAGAAGAGAATTTGATAACATCTTTCTGTCAGATATGAATATCTTAAGGAGAAATACCACACCTGATACTAGTGCCAGTATATTACCTTGTTTAAAAAAGTAATAGGCATTTAGATGGGCAAAACATTGCTTGTTATTTGAGTGTAAGAAAATCGTATCATAGATTCCTCAATGGTGGAGGGAGAAAACACCATATCTACTTTATATTTTGGCTTGACTGTGGTGCCATTCAAATGTGAGGAAGAGATATGATGTACTTGACTATAGCTTCCAGAATTCCATCTTTTAACACTAAAGCAAAAAAAAAAATCATAGCTATTGTCATGTATCTGGTATATATCTTTCATATTAGAGAAGTTATTTCAAGGTGTTAGTGCCCAATGTGTATATACATGGTCTGTTTGGGGGCTTGTAGCTGTAAGAGATGACACTTTGTATTTGTCTTGTCTTGAGTTTTGTAAATTGTGTGAATCAGTTTGATAATACAGAGTGAGGAAGAGCAATATTCATGCTTACATAAGGCAGTATAATCATAGTCAAAGCAAACAAGGAAAGCAGGAAATGATGAAATAAGTAAAAATAATGTCAATTTACCAGTGCCTGAGACATATGAATTAGAGAATCAATCCTACAATTGGTATAAGCCCAAGCCATACCTCCAATGTAACTTTAAATTTTCATTAACTAGTTATCATACTTTTTCCGTAATGGATGTGAGAACTAAGTTGAGGAGAAGAATGATGTAGAATAAATTGCATTAAAACTTTTAAAAATTCAATATAAAGAAGTTAGATATAGGTATATATGTGCCTTATTTGACAAAGGAGTTTACAACATTCGATTCAGTGCAGTCTTTATCCTAAAGGAATTTCCATTCAATGACACTCCTTGCTTGTCCCCCTCTCTTTGTAGCTCTTCTTTTCTGTATGGACAGCATGTCATGGAATGGTCAACAACTATCTTTGCTGTTGGTCATGGAGGAGTTGGAAGTAAGAAAGGAGTCCTGTTTAACACTATCAATTAAGTGATCTTTCTGGAGGAACAGGAAGGCATCCAGAGAAGTATAATGATGAGTACTACACAAGATGAAGTCACTTCTCTTTACAATATGCAGATATGTATGGCATGAAGTAATAACACCGTTGTAAAGGATGAACATTTCTTCTGCCCCAATGGAAGCCTGCTTTTTATATCTCTGTGATTATCTACATTTTTATAATGTTATGAGGAACTTTCTTCAAACATATTTATGAGGACACTTAGGTAAGAGCCATGGATATTTTCAATATATAACAACCAGAAAGACATAGGCACCAATCAGTCACAACGAATGGTAAAGGATGTTCTATTATGCTTGTATATAGAGAAAAAGTGATATGGTTTTTAAGTATTTAAAATTATCCTACAGAAATTCAAACTGATGAACTTCAGGTAGAACTTATAATGTAGGTGAATTTGTTGTGAACCAAACTCAAATGAATGTCCATTTGTTTTCATCAAACTAGTGTTTCCTAAGATCTCTTAGCTTTGTTGATATTTGCTATTGGTCTTGTTAACTAATCTGATGTTTCTATTTAATTCACTTTACCCATGTACTGTATCTCTAGATACCAATCTTCAGTGGTTTAATATAGACATGATAGCTGAAAGAATAGTCTTTCTTTCTTTACTAGAACATCATATCTTATCACATATTTAAATGACTTAAGAAGAAAAGAGCTGAAATGTCGCTGCTTTCCATTTACCTTGAAAATCCTGACTGCATTTATTATTTTACATGATTACAAATTTTGGAGATTTTCTTTCACTTTTCATATGTTTATATGAAAAATAACTCTTAAAAGTAGGCTTTTAACATCATCCACTTTAATCCAAGTTGTGTGAGTCACGATGATGTATTTATATACCATTGTGAAGAGCAATTGAAAAATGAACATTCAAAACTTAATCATGCAATATGATTACTCTGCTGTGCTCTGATCATTATAATTGAAAATACTTTTTAATTTTAGTAATTAATTCTTTGTGTTTTGTTGGTTTATCAGTCTCTCTCCTGGAAGCTTTTGTGGAAGGAACTTATTGCTTATTTCCTTATATTGTTTGTTATTCACTAAAATTTAATTTAGGTATAATGCTTAGTAAACATAAGAATTGTGACAATGATATGAATATTTAAAAAGGACCAAAGGGAAGTAGTGATTGCACTAAGAATGTGTTTACAGGTGATTATTCTTTCCTGGGGTTAATTCACCTTAGGATTATCAAGGCAGTATTTTAACAAAAATCAAATTAAGATTATATTATTCTATCTACGAGTCACCGTATATGTAATTGTATGACACATCCTTTAAGTTTGGAGAATGATGTGGTTTCAGAGCCCAAGAAAAGGTTTTCTTCCTTTTTACTATTCTACAACTGTTATTATCACCAATAGTGATGACGATAGCAATTATATCAAACATTGATATTTCACTTATTCAATGTCAGATAATAATCTAAGTGACAGATCATTCTTATCCATTTTTTTCAGTTTCTAACATATTTACTTGACTGAAATGTCCCCATAAAGAATATATACATGGGCCTACTTTAAACCTTCATTTGTGAGTGTATTTAAGACATCCAGTGCTGGATAAATTATGGGTGCTTTATTTTCATAAAGCTTTGTTGTGATGAAAGCATATAAGAGTTTGTAATCTATTTTTGTTTTATTTATTTATATGTGTGATGTATGTGTGTGTGTATGTGTGAGTGTGCGTGCAAGTGAGTGTGCATGAATATGGAGGCCACAGTCAATATCGGTGTCTTCCTTTATTGCTCTTTAGTTTTTGAGAAAGGGTCTCTCATTGAGCCTGACCATTGCCATTTTGGCTAGACTGACTGCTCACTGAGCCCCTGGGATTCCTGTCTCTGACCCTCTCCCCAGTGCTGTGGTTACAGACCACACCTGGCTTTTTATGTGGGTGATGAGAATCTGGACTCATTCTCTTGCTTGTGTGGCCAGCACATCTCCCCAGTTTCAAAGAGTTTCTAATTTAAATAAAAAGTTTTTAAAAAAATCTACATATATAGTCACCTAATGATGACATGATGACTTAAAATAGTAAAATTGTTTCCTGTGCTTTTCTCATATTTGCCTTGTAATTTAGCTGTTCATATATTATACCTGAGGGTCAAAACAGCATTTGCATTAGGTTATGCAGACACCTGCTATGCTAGCTTATTACTTATAACAAGGTTAACATGTGTCCAAATGTCATCTTTCTAGAGTTCTATCTGTGAAGTCATATCAGAGGGCCAGACAATTTCCATAGGCTCTTTCACCTAATTTGGCTTCACCACTTGTTGGCTGTTACCCCAGTTAAAGCAATATCGGTAGGCATGCCTGATGAAGGAGTCTTCTACTTGAACAAAATAAGCAATCCCTGCAAGTTGGGAATTATATGGGATTTCCAAATCACATATTAGTGCACAGATCAAATATTTATATAAGTAGATATTGTCCATGTGTTTAGCTCTCACTTCTTCACAGGAAATAGAGGTCCCATTTTTCCTAGTCAATCCTAATAAAATATGCATTTTCGCATAATAAAATATAGTACAACTCAAATTTTCTATTGAGGGCAATGTAAACATCTAAGTGCTAGTGTAGAAGTTAAGATTGTTATGAAAGGCTAATGCAGTGTCTTCTGCCTTTAATTTAGAGAAATGTTGCAAAATGCAGGACATATCACTATATTACCACATGTTAATGTCTCACATCTACTAGGAAGCCATTCTTTAAAACATATAATTAACACACAAAATCTTCCACTATTGTGAAACTGTATCTATGTTAGGTTGATAACTTTTCCACAAATAATCCTATCAAGTATAAAGATACAGCCTTAGAACAAAAAACTCACTATTGGAACTTTGTTCCAAAGCATCTTAGAAGATTATTTTAGTTAGCAATGGTTAACAAAGGCAAGGAACTGACTGACTGGATCTTGAGCCATATTCTCACAGAACCTTTTGTCTTGGTTGAATGAGTTAAAAGAGGATAAACTCTTCCTTCTCAGTGATCCACTCTCAAGATCTCACCAGCACCACTATGCTCCAGTTAAATCCACTTATCATACAACTCACAATTAGGCAGATACATTTGAATTTGTGGCCTTGGCCTCCATCTATTAGAATAGAATGAGAGTGGAAGATCCTCTTTTGTCATTCCATGGTAGGGCCTCAGCTATGGTAAAGGGAACCTTTACTATATTCCAAGATGTCCTTATGGGCTCACAGGCCTGTTATGGGAAGGAGGTACATTGCCTTTGAAAATTATAGGGAATCCAGCTGGTTCTCCTTTAAGTAATGTTGAAAGTATATGTAACCCATTTCATTTTTCTTGCTACTGTATCACTTCCAATGGTGTGCATTCCCTATGATTCCCACAGCTCCATTCTTTCAAGATTTACAATTACTTATGTAACTTAAAGAAGAAAATAAAGAGTGGATGTTATAAATGTACTTACTTGAAAACCATGAAGATCCCCATTGAAGTCATTAAAGCAGCAATTGACATAGAATGACCCACAAGAGCCAGGTAGTACAGAACGTAGGCATTCTAGATCAGAGAGAGAGAAAAACGTAAGTTGGTGAACACGAATGTACAGAAGGAAAAATAGTTTCTACTTCTAAATATTAGCATAAATCAGAAATGTTTACCTCTTGCTTGAAAACCATGAAGATCCCCATTGAAGTCATTAAAGCAGCAATTGACATAGAATGACCCACAAGAGCCAGGTAGTACAGAACGTAGGCATTCTAGATCAGAGAGAGAGAAAAACGTAAGTTGGTGAACACGAATGTACAGAAGGAAAAATAGTTTCTACTTCTAAATATTAGCATAAATCAGAAATGTTTACCTCTTGATAACATGTAATAAAATTATAGCAAA